TGTGGAGTGCAGGAGAGAGGACGACCGTGCAGCATTCACAGCGTGGAAGTACTGACATTGGTTTGAGTTCGGTTCTGTAAAAAGTGTCAAAAACATTAGCGTCTGCTGTGCACTCTGCATGGGAAGAAAACTTTCTACAGCGAAAAATAAAACACCGAGCGCGCTGCCACGGGAATGTGAAATTCACAGAGAAACCCCCGGATCCCCCCACTGACATGACCGCTGCAGCACCGGGCAAACCTTCACCCGCTCCTGCTGAACAGGTGAGAATAGACTTATAAGCGACAGGACTCGGTGCTGCTGAATCTTTGATTTGATTTATTGTTTGCTGTGTTTTACTTGCATCTATTTAAAAGAGTGAGTGTAAACACAAAACATTATTTTATTTTATTTATTTAACACATTTCTTCCAGTCAGAGAACGTTGCATATAATTTAATTTTTGGTTGATGCAATGTGCATAAAATTAAAAGATTAAAACTAATCAAACATGTTTTTAAAAGAGACTTTTCCATTTGATTCAATTTTATATCCTGAAATATGCAGAAAAAAATCAATTTTTTACATATTCAGGTTGCGTATCATGTTTTTAAAAAGTAACTAAGTAATAAAGTAATTAATTACCTTTGAAAATAAGTAATCAGTAAAGTAACGGGATTGCTTTCTTAGAGAAGTAATCCATAATTAGTAGCTAATTACTATTTTCAAGTAACTTGACCGACACTGCTCATGACTTTAGTAATGAAGTTCACAAACACCTCCTTTTCACACTGGCCTGGTGACCAGTATTTGTTTCGTTGTCAGAGTGGGTTTGGTTTTCCCGCCACGTTTCTATTGCCTTTCTCACACTGGATTCAAGCATCTGCCAATAATTTTCCACAGATTTAGATTCTAGCTGCACTTGTAGAGAGGAAGTGCACGTGCACTCTTCCTTAATTACTAAATACTAGTGTTTATGAGTTGATGCTGTGAAAATATTTGAATTGCCAAGTTCTTGGTGGTAAATAATGACAATTAAGTGTGCACAGTACATTGGAAAGAAGGGATGCATCATATGCTCGACTGTGTTTAAGCATCCATTAGGAAACATTACTGTAAGAAGTAAACACCAGACTGCATCAGTCAGTAGAAGTCTGAATAGTCTGTGGAGTCTCTGAGGACAGACTGGAAGCACTAAGGCTAGATTGATGTCCTCTGAATGGGTTTTTATTAGTGAGGGTTTTTTTATTATTATTTTACATGGTTAACCAGCAGAGGTGTTTCTGCACTGCTAAAGCAAGCAGGGGCACACTTAGCAGTAAGAAGACAGAATACAGTTAGGTCCATAAATATTTGGACATTGGACATAAACTTTTATCTAATTTCGGTTCCATACATTACAACAGTGAAGTATTAAATGAAACAACTAAGATGCAGTTGAAGTGCAGACTCACAGCTTTAATTCAGTGGGTTGAACAAAGAGTGGATAAAATGTGAGGAACTAAAGCATCTTTTTTGAGTACAGTCCCTTCATTTCAGGGGCTCAAAGGTGATTGGACAAATTAAATAACTAAAAATAAAAAGAACCCTGTCATTGGTTTGCCTCTGATAGCTGCAGACTGGGAACACCCCAGAAGGGCTCCAGCTTGTCTAGCCATCACAGTGTGGCCCTTTGTCAAACTTACCTATTTTCCTGCTGCTAACATATCAACTTTGAGGACAAAATTTTCACTTGCTGCCTGATATATGTGCCACAAGTGCCATGATGAGAAGATAATCAGTGTTATTCACTTCACCTGACAGCGGTTTTGTTATGCCTGATCAGTGTAAGCCCTTCTAACACCACATCCTGTCACTTAGCAGCCATCTTTGCAGTTATTCAATACAGCTCAGAGGTGTGGTACATTTTCCCCAAAGTAAGACTTAAATGGAAAGTTTGACAGTGTTACAGCTTCATTAACTGCTCAGTCCAGAACAGTCAACATCACCAATTAACGTTATGATATCATAACAACCTAATATCGTGCTAGCTGCTCAGCTATCTTTGATACAAATGTGCATTAGTGTAGCAGCTACACTGATTCATTATCTGGGGGAAAACAAAAATAAAAACAGAAAGACACGATTTGCATCCAGTGGTTTCAATTGAAATCAGAGGAACCTGTTTTGCTTGTTTATCTCTTCTTCTTGTCTTTTTT